AAACGCTCTTGAGAGCCATCGACAAGTTCAAGGGTGCTGTCTTAGGATGCGTTTGGCAACGTGCACCAACAAACGCATCCTTAATTACATGCTTTCAAAGTACACCGATGACCCCAGAACGGTTGCTGTTGTGAGCGGTGCTGAATAGTCACTTTTTTTTTTTTTTTTATCAGCATTCAAGTGGCAGCAGAGATTCTGGTAGCTTATGTATGCATTGCTTTACTGATACGAAGCACTCACTCTTATAAGTTTTGTCAGTAGATTCCTAATTTTCTAGACATGAAATTTAACCCAGTCAGGCTGAGTCAGCTGTGTTTGATAGTCATGAGAGCACTTTATAATTCATATCAATTGGTAATATTTTTTAAAGTATCAATTACAGGTTAAATCAGCTTGTGATGGCTAAATGGCCAAGTACTTTTGAAGACTGGCTGCCGGCAGTCTGAAAGCATTCTGGTTTTCTAGACTTGCTGCCGTCCATTACCTTTGTTTTCTGAATAGCGGTTCTCGTCATTTCATCACCACTGGTTTCTAAATAATTATGAGTATCTGCTGTTGAGAATTAAAAATTTTATTACTTTTGGCATATATATCGGGAACCAAAACCACTCGACTCAGATCAATGCACTGATAAATCCTCAGAAGACAAAAGGTAGCCAACAAACTCTCTTCTCATATCCGAGTTTCATTCTTTACAGGTATCTTTCTCGGAATTCTCAGCAATAAGCTGAAGGTAGTTTGTTGGTGCGACCCTGGCCCTGATTTAAATTTGTTTTTCAGTCCTCTACTCCTATTAGGTTACCAAAGCAACTGTGATTGCACGATGGACTCAGAAGCATGGGAAAATGGCTGCTGTTAGTGCTGCATTTGAAAGTGGCCTAGGTTGTCGACTTATATTCTGCTATCCTATTACCTAGAGCAGAAGAAATCAGAGATTTCCAAAGTTATTTATACGAACAGTGAAATCGGCCCATCTGTAGCCCGTGGTCTCGGAACTGATAGATAACTTAAACAAGATGCACAGCAATATCTCCTGGGATTCGTTATGATCCATGTAGTGGCTTTGCGGAAGCGCCTGCTGCTGCTGCCATTCAAATCCTGCACAAGTTTCAAGCCAGTCATTCATTAAACTTTAACTCAAGAGCAAGTTCATTGCCAGTGAATTCAAAGGATTTCTCGCACCCATCCAAGTCCATAGGCTTGGACGAAACATCAATGTCAGTAAGTTTAGGAGTTTCATGATATTTGTCTCCCATGGCTTCATCTTTTTCCAGTCTTTTCCCTTCTAAAAGGACTGAAAAAAATTCTTAAAAGTATTATGTAAAATCGAAACTTGTTGATATAAATATAAACATTGATTTTACTGGTTGACTAGTGGATACAAAATTGTTGTGTGGTCCTGCATATGGTGTGAACACTATATTAATTAAAAAAAAATAGATAAATTTTTTTAAATTAAACGATTAAGGTACTATAGATGTGATAGCAAAATTTAAATAAAAAAAGAGAAGAAACCTGAAAAAAAAAAAAAAAAAAAGACAGCAAAGCAGTCTATATTCTTCCTTTAATTTCTTGCTTGTTCACTGTTGGATCGAGATGAGATTTGACAGCAGTTTTTAGAGATGTTACTCTTCATTCTGAACGGTTGCATCAAAAATTGATGGTATGAAAGCTGACCGTTTTGATAGAAAACGGGGTTGTAAGTATTTGTGAGTATTTCTCAAATACTTCTTCTTTAATCTTGTTGTATTTCAAGAATAAATTTTTCTTGATAATATACATGTTATATCCCCTAGTTGAATATGAGAAAGAACAATTATGAACCTATTATTTGTTAATAGTAAAAGTTTTTAGATGAATTACGGTCCCGTGGTTTTTCCCGTATCAAGTTTTTCACGTTAAAGTCTTAATGTTGATTTATGTGATTATTTATATTATATTTAGTCATTGTTTGATTATGTTTTACTGCATAAAGAAAAAAAAAGATTAAAACTTGTGAATTATATTATTTTGAATTGATTCGAGTAAATTAATATCTAGTTGTTTCTAATTTCCAACAAAAATTCTTAAACATTATGGAAAATTGAAACTTGTTGCCGCTTGCAAGCACAAGAATTTACCGTATGATGAATAGATTAGAAACGAGGGGATGTTTTCAATTCTGTTTTTGCATTGATATTGGATCTTGCTTGATTTTTCTGAACAGAAACCTGGCAATATATATATATATTCAAAGGCAATTATCAGGCGATAAATTTTTATAATATATTCAAGTTGAAACAGTTATTACTTGCTCCGCTCTAAAAGATTGCCATTAAAGATGATTCACTAGATCATGCGTTGTACAAAAATCCCAAACGGAACTTAGATATTTAACATCAATGGTTGTAATTTAAATGTGGTTGTCATAACTTGCGGCCTTGGTTTTGTTTTAATTTATGAGTAAACATTAGCCGATTACGCTGCCGCGTTTTATATATATATAATAAATTCAAATATATTTATATGATAAAATCTTGCGTTTTAAAATAACACATACATAATTAATGATATCTAACTTATATAAAACTCTTTAAAGATATTAAAATATTGAGATATAAAAAAATCTTAATTCCCAGTGTTGCTAATTAAATATATTATATATTAATCAATTTGTATTAAAATTGATTATAAATTTTTTTTTAATAATACTTAAAATAAAATTTACATAACTTATCATACTTAAATTATATAAAATAATTTCATGATATAGATATTCAAGAAATACACAAGTAATATAGTACAAGTACTAGTAGTAGTCTTAACACGCTACTATTCCAAGAACGTCTAATGAAATAACTAATAAGAAGATATTGGTTACTTATTCACTCCATAAAATTACTTGTTCATACTAATGGCATGACTTGCACAATACAATGCATATTAGAATTTAGGTTAATTCTTAATGTAAGAAAAAAATACATCAATGTTAATTTTTTTAATATCATAGTTTTTTTTATTAAAAAGATAAAAATGGTATTTATACTTGATAAAATAAACTAAATAATATATATACCGATAAATAAATAAGAATTATTAACACTAATAAAATACTAAAACAAAAGGAAAAGGAAAAGATGAACACGTATGCAATGTTTTACTTTGATTGTCATTTTGATTTTATATTTTTTTATTTATTTTATCTTAAAGGTTAATTTTGATTACTAAGAATAAATGATTTTTCTTCCTATAAAAGCATCATACAAAAACACGGGTTACCAAAAATCTCAACCTTGCGAGGTCTGGATTCATTGTATTTTGGGGGCTAAAACCGATGGATGCTCCCCCTCTTGTATTTAACAAAGATAATCAAATTTACAACCGGAAGTGGATGTTAAAAGCTATTTGCTAATGAAGCCAAGCTACCCTTTCAGCTTATGACAAATTAACCAGGAAAAAGAAAGGGCCAGGCTAGTTTTTGTGACAGGATCATTGCCTGGCGGGTTAAATCAAGGATCCTCGAGACGAAGACGATGGAGATGCCACCTGCTATATCCATTCAAATTGTGCCAAATGCTCGAGACAGAAATTGCATACAAGGACAGCCGGCATTAATCGATGCATGTAGATCATGAAGAAGAACAGTTGATCCCTATTTGTTCAACTAATTGTTGTTTTACCTTTCATGAAAATTCGACGCTGCGATGCAAACCTGGGGTATGCTGTTAGAGCAGGACAAATAATACTTGTAGCCTCTTCTTTCTTGTCTTATAACTTCAATTAATTTTTATTTTATTTTTTTCCTCTACTCACCATAAGATTACAACTTGCATCTCTACTCACCATAAGATTACAACTTGCATTTCTTTAATCAAAGTTCTGTTGTGTTGTTTGCTGTCTGCTACTAAACCCAAAAACTTTCATTATACTATTATATCTTTTGATAGAGTTTCTAATAGCATTTTCAATCCAAAATGTTATTTTAAAAAGTTAAATTACTAAAATAATATTTTGAATAGTATAAATATAACTTATTTTACTATATCTATTCCAATAAAAAAAAATCATTTAAAGAGCCATTTATATTAGAGTAAAAAAAACAAGTATTTTATTATTTTTTAATATATTTAATATTATTTTTTTCTACATGTTTATATTTAATTAGTTTACTTTTTTAGTGGTCCCATTTTGTTGGTTTTGACTTTTTGAAAAGATATATAGAAATAGCATTTGTGGAAGAGAAAAGATATTTTAGCATTTTATTTGGTTTTTTTTTTTTTAGTGTTCAAAACAAGCAATGAAAAGCCAAAATATTAATTTTTTTATTTAGAGTGTTCAAAATAAGTAATGAAAAGCCAAAATATTAATTTTTTTATTTTTAGATTTTTTTATTGAAGATACTCTAATGGTTATGAAAGTATTGTTGATGCAAAAATTCGTTGGTCAACCAGCTTCATGAACAGGAAGCCTATCAGGGTACCAGAAGGGATGTTAAGGAAAGAAAAGAAATGCCAATCAGATCTGGCGAGACAGAAATTTTAGTATGCTCACAAACCATTTGTCAAGGTTAATGGTTAATGGACCCCAGATTCCAGGTGACCACATTTTAGCACTTAAACCTTGTTCGTTCTTCCAAGTAAAATACAAGAAGCGTATCACTTGTTTATTACATGGAATGGAAGGACGGTTTCTCCATTCAGATGGGGATCTACGTTGTTTTTATCGTTATAATTACGTTGTTGTCTGCTCCCATGTATATGACTAACCACCAATCTGTGGATTCATGAATGCTGGAACATTGTTGTCTTCGAAGTATTTACAACATTGATTGTCTGTATTCCAAAACAAAACGGAAACTCCAAGAAACAATCATATGGGTTAGAAGACCAAATGAATCTCAGGAATTGAGCAACTCATGTAGGGCTAAAGCCATAGGTTTCTCTCCAATAATAAGATAGCTTTCACTCGCAAAACGACATGAGAGAATCTCCATTTCTTTTCGGAAACTGCCAACTAATCGTGATTCCTTGTACAACATTACGATTAATACAACTCCAGCATGATGCTATATATAAGCGCCCCATTTTGAAGCGAAGATTAATTAAGAGGAAGCAAATTAACAAAGAACAGGAGAAGAGAGAAAAAAAATGGAAATCTCTTACAAGGACTTCAAGCTAGGAAAATGTGAGGGCCAGAAAGTGGTGGATGGTGAAACCATGCCACTAGTGCTGCAACCCCCAGAACCCAACAAGAGTGACACAGAGTCATTAATCTCAGCTCTAAAGCAGAACAAGGACTGGTTTGAGCAAATGCTCATGAAAAACAGTGCTGTTCTGCTTCGAGGTTTTGATGTGAAGAATGCTGAGGACTTCAATGATATTATAGAGGCCTTTGGCTGGGATGACATTCGTTACATTGGGCCTGCACCACGGACACACGTGTACAAACGCATATGGACTGCCAATGAGGGACCCCTGTCGGAATTCATTTACTACCACCATGAAATGGTTCTGGTAAGTTAAATATTGCCACAGTTTAGGAAAGGTTTTGTATAAGATTAACAGTTACTCCACTTTGATCCATCCTAGCCAAACTCAATCTAATCTCCTGACTCCCTAAATGTCTTTTGGCTTTGTAAACACTAAACACAATAAATCCAAGAAGAGATTTTCCATAACTATCTATATGAATTGTGTCATAGGAATCTTGTGCTGTGTTTTCTGCATTTACCATGTCTAACTTTGACAGATTAAAGAATCTCCGAAGAAAGTGGTGCTTTTCTGTGAAATACCCCCACCAGAAGGCGGACAGACACCCTTTGTTCCAAGCTTTAGAGTTACAGAAAGGATGCTAGAAGAGTTCCCTGAAGCAGTGGAAGAAGTTGAGGCAAAAGGACTGAAGTACACTTTCACAGCTCTTAGCAAAGACGATACATCATCGATGAGAGGTAGAGGTTGGGAGGATGCTTTCGGAACATCAGACAAGGCAGAGGCTGAGAGAAGGTATGCACATCTACATTATCTTAGTTAGTTTCTTAACAAATTTCCAAATGATACCGTTTTGTGTAATAGACTCGGAACACGATCATAAAAAATGTGTGACAGGGCTAAGGCTCTAGGGATGGACATGGAGTGGCTGCCTAATGGAGGAGTGAAGACAATACTGGGTCCTCGATCATTAACGAAAGTGTTTGATGGAAGAAAAGGGAGGAGAATGTGGTTCAACACTGTCGTTGGCATGCATGGTAAGGAGTCCAGCTCGGCTACGTTAGCAGATGGAACAGAGATACCAGAAAATTTTGTGAAAAGGTGTGGGCAAATCATTGAAGAAGAGAGTATCCAATTCAAGTGGGAAAAAGGTGACGTCCTTTTCCTTGATAACATGGCTTTGCTTCATGGAAGGAGGCCATCTCTGCCACCTAGAAAGGTCCTCGTTTCTACTTGCAAGTAGCTTCAGCTTAGCTGCTAGCTATAGTAATTGTGTTGTGTGCTAAAATACTACTGCAAAATCGCTCCATGCATAGTAATTAGCATTTACTCTGTTTTATGGAATAATTGAAAGAGAAGGAGCGTAAGATTACATCCATGTAATTCCTTCATTTTTCTTTTTCCTTTGGTTATTGTAATTGAAAATAAAACGTTGGCTGCTGATGATTCTCCACACGCCAATCCTTCAATAAAACAGTAAAACAGTTATAAACTATACCTTAAATTCTTGCCAAGAAAATCGTATTGCATCGCACTACAATTTTGTAACAGATAAAAGAGGAATGGAAGTCAAAACGGCCGAGTGTGTTTCTTTGCACACACCATAGGATAGGATCTGCTTTGGGCCGGCTTTGCATTTCTCTTGCTTATGTCCTTGGCAGCTTCTTCCAACAGCCAAAAACTCTGGATTATAACTCACTTGGAGCATCCACACCCTTGCTAGCTAAACCCAATCCTTAGCTGTAATAGCTAGTGAGAGTGGAAAAAAGCTGAACATTGTTGCTCTCTATTTGACCAGTTATACAGCAAAATGAACAGTACTCGCTATATATATATATAGCGAGTACTGTAGCACTCCTCAATTGACTTATAGAGAAAGCGCGAGGGAGGAGAAGATCGCGGGGAAAAAAATGTACATTGCATCTGGGTTTTCTCTTTTGTTCTTGGCTTCAAGATTCCTACCAGTCAACATCAACAGTTCAACGATGGCGATCGTACAGTTCATCTGGATCTGTGGTGATAGGGCAGTCGCGATTGCTCGGCAAATATTGGACAAGATGGCAGGCAAATGAAAGGCCCACGGCCCCACGATAATGGGGTTCCCTAGAAGTCAAATGGGTTATATTTTTTTCTGGGTAAAGACAATTCGAGAGTTTGATTTCATGTTTGGAAGTTTTATCTTTTCTTGTTCGTAAGATGATGAAGGCGTTTATCTTTATGCTCTTTCCTCTTTTTGTGCAGGTAACCTTGATTTCTGATAAATATGGACTTTTTCTTCAGAGGTCTAAATGAGGATCCCACAACTTCTCAGCTAGAAATCCATGGGCGTCCCTTTTTGAGAAACATTAACGAGAGCACTAGTTTTTCGCATTTCCTTTGAGACCCAGCAAATTGTATTGTTACTTGGAGCTTGTTTGGTGAATAAATGCTGATTTTTAGACTGTCCCCAAATGATTCCATCATGGAAGTCCGAAACATATACGATGAAAAACAAATTTGTAAACCATCTACGTGGTGATCAAATAGTAAAGACTTGAGACTAAGAGGTTTGTTTCTTCTATAGTCTCAAGTTTGAATCCTTAGTTACTCATATGATGGTCATTGGAGGCTTACATAGTCGTTAACTTCAGGGCTCATGAGATTAGTTGTGGTACGCGCAAGTTGACCCGGACATCCACATTACTCTAAAAAAAAATTGTAACTTTAAATTGTGTCATAGTTCTCCCCTCTTGATTGATGACGTTTCAAGGAGGACAATCTAATCACGAGGCGTGTCGACCTGTTAAAATTTTTTCTTCTAAACTCAGCAATTTTAGGCTCTTATGTAACGTGTTCCCCATGTCTAATTCCAGGTTCTTGGTCCTACAGAAACAAAAATCTGATCCTGAGTTCACTACTATATGTTTCACTTGTTTTCTTATGTGCTTAACCTGCTAAGCTAAGTTCATTTGTGGTAAAGTGTACATCTATTTTAGGGCTTTAGACAAGTACTTTAAGTCCAACTTTAAAAAAAAAAAAAGATATCATTTTATCAATTGCAGGTTGTTCTGGATTTTAGGATCCTAGGGTCCAGATAGACAAACAAAAGATTTCTTCATTGTTAGAGGTCAATGTCCTTTGCTCCTTTGGATGTTTTAGTATTCATGTTGGTGACTCGATTTCTGTTTGATACTTAATTTTAAATCCTAGGTTCCGCTCTATGTTTTTTCTTCTGAACCTAACTGCTTTGAATTTCCCAAATTATGATCCAACTGTGTTGCTTTGAGTGTTTTTTTATCTGAGTAGGAGCTTGTCCTTCCTGGTTGTTTTCTGCAAGCCAAGGCCATGCACTTGTGCCTATGACTGGCCAGGTAATCGCCTGGAACTGTGAAGCAAATTGAATCACTGATACTTGAAAGTTCCAGGTTTTGTACCATTGATAATTCTTTTCTTCAGCAAGCAATTAAATCACCTCATCATTTTAACACGGAGTAAAGTCAAAAAATTATTGCAGTTTGTGCTGACAATCTTAAGTACAAGCACTGATGTTAATTTGAAGCCTATCATTTCTCTCTTGCATTGACCATTGTTAATTTTAGGAAGTATTGTTGATGTTAATTTACAATATAAGAGAGCATGGGTGCAAACATGCATGAATGACGCTCAACGGGATACTAGTATTGTGATAGTTTTTTTTTTTACACTAAAATTTACACAGTTACGATTCAAACCATAATTTTATAAAAATTAAAATAAATTAAAGATGTTTTTATTTATTTATTTTGTATGCAAAAATCAATATAACAATAGATTTAATAAAATATATTTTTTTAAACCACTTTTTTAAAAAACCACAACCAAAAATATTTTTTTAACCTATTTTTTTTTTGAAAAAAACCATAGCCACCACAAATGCAATCACAAAGTCAAAAACACACTTAATTAAAGTCCAACTTTTTTTATAAAAGGAAAACAAATGCAATCACAAAGTCATAAACACACTTAATTAAAGTCTAACTTTTTTTTTAAAAGGAAAACAAGCCGCATGTGACCAGGCTAGATAAATCTTCTATCAAGCACAAATGCTATTTAGACGGTTGGTAAAACATGTACAAAGATTGAATGACTCAACCACACGTGTACAGGTTGAATGCCGATCCATGCCTTGCAACTTTTAAGGCATGGAAAGACGACACAAAACTGACTGGTCTATAGGCTTAAACCCAAATTATAAACATGTGAGCTTTCATTTAGGAAAAATGGAAAAAAAAAAAAAAAAACAAAGGCTTATCCATCAAGAGCATTAGAGAGCCATTAATAATGCAAATGCAAATTAACAAGCAAAAGACATCCCCAAAAGTTAAACTAAGTGACCTTCAAAGTTAATAAAAACTGCTGTATAATTAGCTTCCCTAAAGGACTGTTACGCAAAGGGAACACCAATTGACATCGAGCATATCCTTCCTTCTTATTCTCTAAACAATAAGGAAAACCACGATCCCTAGAGCATAGCCCTAAATTAGTTTTGTTGCTTCATGAACACAACGACCGACCTGGCTTTAACATTTCATAATACCAAATGCTACCTAAGAAGCACCATCAGGCACACCCCAGCCCCGCCCCCGGCCCCTGCCCCTCCCAACATAGCCATACCCATTCCCCCTTCCATGATAAGATCCATGAAAACGACCACCGCGTGGAGGACCACGACCACCTCGTCCTCCCCGATATCTTGAAAAGTCACCAAATGTCTGCATAATCAAACAAACAAAATTTTGAATAAGACTCCACAAATTCTTACAAGGGTCAGTAACCAAGATCAATTCACCTCTGTGTCTAATTTCATTTGCTCCGAGAATCTTGTCCTTCCATTTTGTGATTCAAGATCAAGCGCATTACATGAGATGGTATCAAAAAAGTCATCCTTGTTATACACAGGCTGCAGGAACGAAGCATAATAAAGTGTCGGTGGTGTAATAATTTCTTAAACTAAAAAAGATATATTCAGCAAAAGTGCAACACATGAGAATGCACTATTACCTTAACCTCAACCTTAGCTAGTTCATCCTCATCTTCATCTTGAGAATCATCTTCACCGCTGACATCTCCATCTTCTCTATCCTTTGAATGAGATTTGTTATTCTTGCCAAGGTGACCCCAAACTTCATCCTTCTTGAACTTCTCATTCATTGCCATAAAATCAAAATCCTCAGTGAATTTTGTCAGTGGCCGTGAACTCTGCACAAGAGATGTTCAAATTCCATGAAGTCAAACACTTGCTACATTGATGGCATCAACTAAAAATTCACTATGAAGACATTGTCCTCGCAAAAAGAGTCAATCGGCTGAACAATAAACGACCTTATGCCATGACCACAAAAATCTGGAAAGCTACATTGCTCTTCAGGGATGAAAGGAAAAATAAATCAAGAATTACCCCATATCCTCTTCCTCTTCCGCGTCCACGGTAACCATGGCGGGCATGAAAAGTAGCCCCGTTTGGCTAGGAAAGAAAACAGAGTAGAGATGTGTTAGAAACCCCTAATTCAAGCAGTTAACCTATTGCATCCAAAAAGAGCCAACACAATATGTAATCATCAAGCATATAGTTAGGTCTCCAAAGAAACTTGTAATTAATAAAATTTTAATGTAACAGGGCATACAACTAGCCTACTGAAAACCATTTGCAAACTGTGAAGATGATGAAGGAATTCAACAAGATGAGGTGCTTTAGAGGATTCTTTGTAGCTAATGGAAGAGTATGAAAATTATTCTGCGGTTACACATGTATCAGCTGTGGAGCACATAAAGTTAATTGGCATGCATGCACATATATATTAATATCTACACTAAATGTACTTCTGTATGAATGCATGTATGGGAAGCGCACCTTATGGCTAGCATGTGAAGGAAAAGGCAATGGGAGTATTGGTGGCTGCGCTTCTGCAGTGACTGGTACAGATGGTTCTGGTGCTGGTGATACTTTAACAACCTCCACATCTTTATGTGCTGTTTGCACAGGCTGAGTAGAAGGAACCATCGGTGATCCCGACTGCAATAGCTGGCCAGGGGTTACCAAAGAAGGAATTGGTGTTGGTTTTTCTGTGCGAAGAGAATTGGATGCCAAAACACCAGAGGGTGCATATTGTGCAGTGCTTTGATAAGGCATTGTTGGGCCAGGAATTGAACTAGGCTTGTTGGAGATTGGTGGTGCAATGGTGCTTAAATCTGGGCTGGAAGTTGTCAAAGGAGATAGCACTGGCAAACTAGCGCTTAAATTGGTTGAAGGAAGTGCAGAACTAGGAATCTTATCAGGCATCAAACTGGGTAATTTTTCAGAAGGCAGAGAGGCAGAGGGCATTAGGGGTACGGTTGAAGGCAAAGTTGACGGCACTGCAGAATGGGATGTGAAATTAAGGGAACTAGCGATGCCAGGAAGTAGAGGAGGTAGAATGTCAGGCAAAGAAGCTGGCAAGGTTGAAATCGGTAAGTTTGAAGGTGGCAAGGTTGAGACTGGCAAGTTTGGACCAGGTAAATTTGAGACACCAGTGAGTAATGAAGTATTGAAATTGGGGTAATGCATCGGTTGCTGCATGGAAGAAGGCATTGCCAGTCCAGGTGTTGGTCGAAGCAAAGATTGTTGGTGTAAATGTGGAAGCCCATTTGGGGGGGCATAGAAACCTTGCCAATACATTGGCATAGCAAGGCTACTGCCATTTGCATTTGGAGGAGGAGGTGAAGCTCCCCAAGTTCCTAAGCTCCCTCCAGGTTGATATAAAGGCATCCCGCCTTGGAAACTCGACGCAGGTTGTCCCCCTGGTCCATTATGGGATCCAAGATCAGGTAAAGACCCACTAACAGCTGAAGGAAAACCAGTGGAGGTGGCAAAAGGACGAGGATAATGAGACTGCAAAAGAGACGAAGCTTTTCAAGAGAGAGAAAGAGGATTGATGCATCTCAACTTAAAATCTCACTTCCATTTACCTGTATGATTGCTGGGTCATTGTTTATATGTGGGGCAGGCTGAGCTGGTGGTGAAGACTTAACCTGCAAGTCCTGCAATTAACATAAAAAGTAAACATCCAGGTTTAAAAACAGCAAATATTGCTCATCAAAGGGATAAGGAAGCTCTATCAAATCAAAGAAACATGTCAGCCTTTAAGTGATCCAGAAAACAATAAAGGACAAGAATGTAAAACCCTTTTTTCTTTTATATTTCCCCAAATAGCAGAGAGCCAGTTGTGAGTTGCTACATGAGAGATAACTGAAAAAATCTTTTTGAGTATCATGTTCTTTTCATGAAAGAGAGACCCACATATCAACCCTACAATTACAAGGACAGATAATATGGAAAGCTTTCTCACCATTTGAATACTTTCACAATTCATCAAAGATAAAAATGAAACTGTTATTTAACCTTTGATCACTGGACACGTGATTTTTTTTATGAAAGGTGACA